GCACTTGTTTGTGGACAAGATGGGAGCACGTGAACTGGGCATTTTGGAAGGAGAGACAAACTTCAGGTCAATTGTGTGTTTAAAAAGCACTCCTATTTTTCCTTTGGCCACAGCCTGGAAGATGTTGTCAAACAGTCTGAGAACTATTTCCCAAGCGCAGCCTGTCACGCTAACTGTGTCTTCAGTTGCACCAAGAAGTGCAATATTTCCTGTGCAGGCCATGGCGCAGGTGTATACGCAACAAGAAAGAAGTAACATCACTTCTCTGGCTGTGCTCAAATGCTGAATTCATTTTCAGAAATGGTTTTCCTTGTGAAGGTGGAATAGTTGGGGCGCAGCGATAATCGCAAAGCACTACCTGTCACGGTAAAGCGACTGACCGTCAGCACATGGTGCTGTAAGAACTCCAGGTAGCAGGAAAAACACATTCTTAGTATTTTCATATTAAATATATCATTCAAATATTATAATAAACAGTACTGCTAGTGTGGTATGAACCTTGTAAACAGTTCATAAATTATATTGCAGAAAGAAATTTGACTTTTTCATTATTTCAGCTGAATTTGACTGGGTGTGCTATGGCTTTGTCTAAAGATCTCAGAGCACAGAACAGGAAATCAATGTGCTACCATGACATTTATTTAGCCACTGGCAATCCATTTAAGAAAACTGAAAATATCATACCTAGAAATAGAAACTCTTCTCTCTATCGAAATGAAAAATGTCCTGCAGAAATTTTTTTCAAACATGAAAAATAGTCCTCTTATCTTTACATGCCTCAATGGAAAATTTTGAGTGAAAAAAAAAACCTCATCGAGCTAGAACTAAGCTTTCTTCCACCCACTATATTTTGTATCAAATCTCCAGGAGGCAGTTTATTTACAGTAAACACTGAGATCATAATCCAGGATGAAAATAATAATTCGATTACGCTGCTTATTAGCCTTGCAGACAGCAGGACAATCAAGGCACTGACTTTGAATTGAGACTCCAGCATTCTCTAGCCCTTATAGCTGCAGCAGGTTATTTTATCTATGTATATATACATATAAAATTATACTAGACGCAATATGAATACACAAATACATGTAAAAAACCTTATAAACTAGTACCAGTCTTTCAAATGAAACAAATATAGTACTTCAAAATTTCTTGTTTTGTGTGTAATGAGGGAAATTATCTATCATGCAACAGGTCACCTCGACTGTCACTGAGAGTCTCTGACCACGTAACCGCGTCTCTAATGGCACTACAGGGTAACAGTAAGACAGGCGGAACCTTCAAGTTACCTATTTATTATTTCACAAATGTGCTTATTCACAGTTATTATTTGGGAATCCTGCTTTATTCAGAGTCCTCCCCCAAGAAGACATTTCTTCCAGTCAAGACTTTTGTCATGTCAAAAAGTGCGGGGAGACAGGAGGTGCAGGAGCATCGTAGAGAGCCCTCCGCCCATGGCGAGATGAGAATCCCAAATGTTCCCAACAACACCAAGCATTGTGCCGAATTCAAACATTAAACCCTACTCTAGGACCCTTTTTTCTTAATTGTTTCTATGCTGTACTCAAACAGGCGTACCTTTGCAGTTCTGTTGATTCTTGTGTTTTCGTCCATCGCTGTCACTCAGCAGCAGCGTCACTTGGAGCAATACAGAGAATTGCCGCGGGATGGAGGGACTTCAGCTTTGCACAGTCACCGTGTGTTGGGAACTACGTCTCCAGAAAGCACATCTGACAGCTCTACCCCTAAAAGCATTCAGGAATTTGTAGAAAAGATTCTCATGAAAGATAATTTCTGTGACAACAGAGAAGACTAAAAACAACACGATACAAACCAGAAAAACCCTATTAGCATCTAAAAGAGAGAAAAAAAGTCTGCCTGCAAGTGGAATTTTCCTTGATCTCTCTGTCACCAACTTGTCGCAATTAACCGCAGTCAGAAGTCTCACCCCTCTGTTTTGCTACATGTTCCTGTATTTCCTCTTTTAGAAGTGTAATGAATACAAGAATACGACGTACCGCAAGGGGCTGCACGATGCTGGGTAGAAATAACACTGCCACAGTCATACCGGTTCAGGACTTCAAAGCCAACATTTTTCATGCCTTTCAAAGTTGTCTCAACTTTTAAGGCACCGATACAATTTTTTGTTATAAAGGGGCTTTGCAAAAACCTTGTTTGCTGCCGTCTGTACCTGGGGTGAACGCTGAGTGACAGGCTGCTCCTGGCTGCAGCACGGCTTGCACACGAAGACGGGGACACGCGTGGGCTCCAGGGCCCTGCTCAGCCAGCCGGGCAGCTGTGCTGCGGGAGGGTCCCTGACAGCCGCACGGAGAACTTCCGAACCTGAACTACAGTTAGCTTAACGACTTTTCCTTTATTGCACTTCAGTTTTTCCTGGGATTTGGTCTGACAGGGCAGCTGTGGTGGAAAGGCAGCCTGTGTGTCCAGGAAATGAGAAGTATTTATCTCAGAGCAGTACCCCCTCTGAAGCAGAAAGTTTGAAATGTTTCAAGCCGAATTCCAGAAGCGGCCTTTTAGGAAAGACTTTCCCTAGCGCCATGTGCCAGTTACTGACTGCCAAGTCAGGGCACCGAGGAATGCTGAAGGCCGAAAGGTAAACAACCATAATTACAATTTGTCTCCAAAGTTGCTTTGCTTTCAGGTCGGCACGGCGCGTTGGCCTAATGCGTTAGCTGTGGCAGCACCTCGCCATGTTTCCATGACAGCTTCTTCTGCGGAGAGGCAAGAGCAGGTTACGTGCCAGATGGATACAACGGACCTTCAGGCAGGTGATGGAGACTTTCTTGAAGCGGTGATAAATCCTGAGTACGACTGTGCTTCTCCAAGTAGAGCAGCTCTCTGGGATGCAGCTACCAAGAGGTACAGGCTGCAAAACTGGTGAAGGGAAAGCTACCGCACTGGAATTTTAGTTGATCAAATACAGCTTCTAGGTGTGAAGCTTCTCTGACCGTACATTAAGCACCATCACATACAGAATGTTTACTGAGATACTCCCAGACTTGCACAGTGAAAGCTGCATTCCCCTTCAATCCAACACAGATCTAAAAGGACGGCTACGTGCGTGCACAACCTGGTTCTTCAAGATGCAGCCGCGGCTCCTCTTGCCTGTACTTGCACCCGTGCCTGCTCTGAATGCTGCACAGCTGCCTTGCCCCCTCTCATCCTCCTCCCCGATCAACCACCTTCAGCTACCAGAGTGCCACTACGATGTCAATGTCATAGTACTAAACGATTTCACCCCGGGGCTGTGTTACCTACCTAAATAGCGTGAATTAAGTTTCTCCCAGCCCTTACTTCTTAAGCAGAAACCCCCCAAACTTCTGGCCTCAAGCAAGACGATACACATATGAAAAGACAGGTAGGTGCCAATGTCAGGATGTTTTTCTGTGAACAGAATAAAACTCTATTTCTACACTGCAAGCTAAAGGACCGCAGAATTAAGGAAGCTTGAGGTGAAAGCTAGCATGCTGCTAACTTATCAACCACAGTAGTGGTTTAACACATAAAACGCCAAAGTAGTGCTTTAAAAATAGAAGAGTCCAAACACTGATAGCAAACATGTTACTTATGGACAGCTTCCTTAACAGAAGTGAAACAAATATGGCACTCCAAAAACAAACTGCCACTGCTACCCTTTTAGCAGGCTGCCTGTAACAGCAGAGGGCTGCTGTCATTGAGCGAGTACAGCATGCATTAATAACCGTGTCAGGACTTCCTTTTCCCTCCCACCAAGCCCTGGTTCTCCTTGTTTCTCCACCAAAAAAGCCACCAGAACTCCCACATTTCTGAAGTTTTAGAAACTTGAAGGGAGGCAGAGGAGGAGCAAAGGGGATTGCTAAGCCTAATAAATGTTTTGCACAGCAGTAGCTTTTAAGAGGAAATGAAGCTTCACTGTCCTTCTCCTTTAATAAACCACCCCACGTGCTATACGGTAAACCTGTAGTTGTACTTGATTCAGATGTAACCCAACAAACGAAGTTGCCAAACTTTAACATGTCCCCAAAGACACAGCCTTCCAATATTCATTTCTCCTTTGTTCTATAGAAAAGAAAGCTAATACATTTCCTTCTTTATATATTAAGTAACTTTTTAAAAGGTAGTCTTTATTTAAATACAGACAAAACTGTACCCTCATCAGCCCCTGACAAGACACTTCATCAGTGGTAATGGAAAGTCAATCCAGCAGCAAGAACAATCTTACATTTAAAAATCCTCATGAAAGCAAGCGCTGAACTTTTAACTAAGGGAAGTCTCCCAAATGTGAAGCCCAAGAGCACACTGTACCCGACGACTGCGCTTGAATGAACACATGTATAGTTTTGCACAGGGCACTATCTGTAAAATAGAAGTAGTGAATTTTCCAACATACAGAAGGTTCAAGCACAGAGTTTCTCAATGATCTGTACTTCTGTTGAACAAGATGCAGTCTGGGAAACTCAGACTATTAGAGATAACAGGGAGAAGAAACCGCAAGTCTGGGTTTTTGAATAATAATAAAAAAATGTAATTCAAGTGCTTTGTAACAAGATGAAAATTTCTCAGTAAAATGAAGCAAAGTGACATTTCTGAGGTACAAATACAGAAATGAATATGCACAACAGTTTCTTTCTTTGAGAGGATCCTAAAGGTCTCTATGGCAGAATTATTCTTATTTTCACGTGCTGCAGCACTGTCACATTTTATAGTTGCAATGTGGATATTCCTTAAAAATACCAGAATTTACTTTGAAGTCCCACTTGCTAAGATAAATTCAACAGAAGACAAGATTTCAAGTCTGAGCTTTAATACCAGAACTAGAACACCATTTCTTGAATTCATCTAAACAATTTAAAATCCTGTTTCAAATTCTGATGGCACAAGACTGGCTCAGAATTGAAGGTCCACTTGGCCAACTGAATAAAAAACCCAACAAAACAACAAATAAAACTCCAGCAAAAAAACCCCAGACTAAAAGATACAAAACAGAGCTTTACAAAGAATGAATCAGAACTGACGGCAGCTTAAGGCTTCATTAAAATATTTGCCAAGTTCTGCTGTTTCTTATGTAACCCATTCTTTAAACCGACTTCAGTGGCATTGCACAGATACAATGCAGAGCAAAACTGGCTCACACTGCCCAGTTTGAGCAAGATACAGTCACATTATCTGCCGCAGGATTTAGAAAGACAGGAGAACAAGTTTAATCCTTCCTGCAAGGTTCATTTTATTCTCCCCCCACACTCCTTGAGTACAATTAGAGATGACTTACAAAAATTGATGCCACACACACTAATAAAAAAAATTAGCGTGGGGCAAAACTTCAGTCTCAGTATTTTGATACTTTTCTGCCATGTTTGACAGAATTAAAAAACAGACACAGCACGGCTTTCATCTAGGCAGCTGTTGGCAGTACAATCAATACAAGATGATATAATGAATCTGGATAATCACTGTTTTATAAAGCTGTCCTTAGTCTGTCGTTGACCTTCTGTACCAAAATCTAGCCCTGTAGTCATCACTGCAGGTCATGAAGCCAGGATTGGTAGGAGAATGGACGATACAACGGACAATGCTGTTGTGCCCAAGAGAAAGCAGATTTCTCCGTTCAGCAGTTCTTGAATCCCAGCAGCAGAGACTTATGGTCCTTTCATCTGGAAGCAGCACATAATCTTCTGTGTGGTTGAAGACGGCTTGTGTCCTGTGTACTTGTCGTCCACTCAAACCAGCTCCTAAATATATGCAGCAAAATGTTAACCCAAATAGGATCAGTTTTAGGAGATTTCCAAAGACCTAAGAATAAACCTCTCACAAAGCATCAATTTCTGCGCTCTGCAAAGAAGCCTCATTTTCTCAGTTAGCCTACCACCTCCACATACAACAGGTGAATCGGTAATGAACATTCTTTTGTAGTTATATACGTGGTGCATTCTAAAATTTCTTAGAAGATACAAAGATTAACTACTCCAGCTGTGTCAGTCAGTCCAACCACCCCTGTGAGTGCAATCGCTTAATTTCAACAGCACTTTTGCCTTCCATTTTTTGTACAAGGCTTACAGCTGTAACTAAGGGGAAAGACCACAGACAGTAGAACATGCAAATTCATATTATGAATGAAAACGTTTGTTTTTAGTGTATCTATCATATAGCACATTGTGTGACCTACGTTGGCCATACCTTCCCTCCACACCCTTCAAATAAAATGTGTTTCATATACAGGCGCTTACTTTGCAATGCACACACCTGCATCCTACCTGATATTTGGCAAAAGTTTATCAAGGAGGTGCTGCACCCTGCTGGTCGAGAGCAAAATCAGAGCTAGCGTACAAAAAAGGACCGTACACACCCCAAAAGCTGATACCCCAAATTTTCAATATCCTCTCCTCTTTCATGCTATCATTCCTAATGCTTAAGCACATTACTGCTTGACCCAAAAGCTTCCCCTGTCACACAGCTGCTATCATATGCAAAGCTTCTACATCCTTCCCCAGTTCTTAAGTCCTGCTGAGACCAAAGCATGGTATTACCAGCATGCTCCGAGTATGACTATCTTGCACACAATTACATCCTTCAAATAAAAAGCTACAAACCAGCTGTAGCTACTTTCAGAATATTGCCATGGCTTACTATCTTTTGCACATAAGTCTAATCGTTAAAACAACTGCCCCAAAGTAAGTTCAATTCTCCCTCTCTGGGTAAGTACTCTGCAGGAAAGTGGCCTGCCCTAGCCAGAAATGGATTATGTGTTACTTCTGACCCTTCCAGTTTAAACTGTGCCCCTAGTCTAGCAATAAATAGAAGTCACAAAATCAAAGTGATCACCAGTAAGAAAAGTGATGATGCTGTTTTAATAATCACTGTTTGTAAAACACACTGAAGAAAACTAGAGAACAAAACCCTCTGTACGCATGTCCCAGTCCTTAGGGCAGTGTTTCTTTTTACTTTTCCCTAGTGTAGTGATAACGTTGCTCCAAAACAATGGAGCAACGATGTCAGAAAAGTCTCCAAAAACTACTCAGACTAAATACGATTACACTGACTGACATACAAGAATCATAGTTTCTCTTCTGGAATTAGTCTACATTATGTGTTTTCAAAAATTCAGGGCGATCTATCCTTAAAGCAGCAGTCTCCCATCGCGTTTAAGAATCACTATTCTTCTGACAACATCACCACCCCTGCCATGGGCTGGTACCTAAAAAGAAGGTACGTGGAAGGTCACCTGCCACATACCTGTGTATTTGACCAATGTTCGACCAGTGGATATCTCCCACAGTTTAGCTACAGAGTCTTTTCCACTTGACAAGATATACTTTGAATTTTTGGAGAAAATAGCAGAACAGACTTCAGCTCCATCATGTGCCTTCTCAAACGTAGTGATACAGCGATTCGAAACACCATCCCACAGTTTGATGCACCCATCCTTGCTTCCTGTCACATACATGTTTGCACTTGCGTTGTAATTTACTGAACATATAGCATCAGTATGCTGATCTTGAGGATTGCAAGACACAAAACACTGGAAAGTATTGATATCATACAGTCGTAAAGTAGGGTGCTGGGTACCAACAAGGATGAAATCTCCAGAAGGGTGAAAAGAAATTGAGCGCAACATCTCTGCTTCCTGTTTGGTCAAAAATACAGAATTGGTGTAAGAAAGAAAAAAAAAAATCTGAAATGGAAGTGTCAGTTCTGGTGGCATTAAAGTGCTAAAAACTAGTTAAATTATCAGTTAGAATAACGTGTTCTGTTTTTGCAAACCAAAGAATGCTTCCTATAGGATTAAAATGACAGGCTACCTTTAAATGTACTGTACTTTTTGTCCTAGAGCAGCCTGCAGTGCCCGCTCATTTTTGGGATATCACAGGAAAGTGAAACGAGGCTTTGTCAGCCGGCTACACCCCCCAAAGTCCACCACCACATAATCCCAAACTCTCCTTCCAAACAAAGATAATGTAACTGATTTAAAAGTTACCCATATTAGATTTGGTCTACATTAACAAAAAGCAGACAGGCACTAGAGGTATCCATTGCGCATAAACTCTTAACACGCAATTACCACAGTGCCTGTAGATTTTGTAGCTGCCTACTCCTACATACCTAACCACTTACAAACTCAGACACAGTTCAGCTCACTGATACCTCAGTGCTGATACATTCACGCTTTGGTTGCTCTGAACTGGTATTGCATCTAACCTGTATATATTTGAAGGCTCTTTTGGCAGAAGGTTTTGAATAATCAAACAATTTAAGCGTGTAGTCCCTTGAGCCAGATGCTAGGATCTGTTCTGTTGGATGAAAAGCTAAACACGTAACTTCATCCACATGATCATATAGAGTCCGAATAACAGGGTGATTTTCCATGTTCTGCTGTGCTGTCTCGTTCATCATGACCTGCAAAGAACATTCAACAAGTCAGAGTGTTAGCAAGCAGAACACGCTTTTAACAGGAAATGCAGGTTTTACACTTGGCCAGGTAGGAAACGGCAGCTACCTTTCTGACGTATGACTTACCACATAATCACTATTATCTTAAATTATTTGAAGGCCCATTATATATTGTTATCAGATAAAATATCTGTATCTTTTCAAAGGTCAACTGACTTGCTCAAGGACAAACTAGTTTCAGTAGCAAAGAACTGATGCAAGAAAACGTATCTCGTTCTTCATAAACAGTCCAAATCAAGATACTGAGGGAAACTGTACCAACTGGGAAAACCGCAACTTTTACTCACGCAGAATACTGCTGAGAATCTGGTTTGCATTCTGTGCAAAAAAACTCTCCATTTTTAAATTGCTACCTGGTAACTGTATTAGAGAAAAATTGAGGCAAATACGTATGTATTCTGTGAAACAGTTCTGAAACAGCCAGCCACTGGAGGCTGTAGAGGCCCAACGTGTAAGTGGGTTCAGAAATGAACCGTATTCATACAATACAGCAATTACCAGCAACTATTTGAAGCTATTTCTGGCTCAATGCTCTAGACTGCTGCCAGAAGTTACACAGGTCTAGTTGCCCTATTTCTTCTTTGTTTTCTTCAAGGGTACTTTATGAGCCACCACTGGAGTAGGAAATACGGCGAGACAGATATTTAGTCCAACCCACAGAGCCAGCCACAAGGTACAAACATGGCACGAAACAGACAGCACTGCAAGAATTCACAAAGCGGTTACGATCCAAGTCATATTTTACCTCAATAGGCATAGCACTTTTGGCCAACATTCTCTCTGTATCAAGAATTTTTATTGAAGCATCAGCAGATCCTGTAGCTATTAATTGTCCGTCTCTGCTATACGTAGCTACACGACATGGTCCTTTATGAGATGTGACATAACAAGTCTCGTATTCGGAAGCCTCAGGAGACATGGTCTGTACATCTGCATCAAATTCCAAGTCAATTCCTGTGCCTGGAGCTACCGTATCTGACCGCCCAATTGCATATTGAACAGCACTGTCATCGTTCTCCATTCCTGAAAAGAGAGAAGTTGATGCGCTTAAACCAGGTTAACCTTCTCCTTAGACAGGCTGTGGCCAGATCTTTGCTACAGACTTCTGTAACACCCACGAGTCAGGTTATGAGAGAGACAGCCCCTGCGCAACACAGCTAAGCTACCAGAGCACATTTAGTTATACAGCAGTACTTCTCATGAGAAATGAGAGATACTTTGGCTATGCTAGGGCAGAACCCAGCTCTTAAAATTAACCGTGGAAATACAACCAGCAAATATTGTAGGATGGCAAGTACTGATAAACGCACTGACAACCGATTACTGAAGCCATTGATGGCCCTCTAGTCAGCTTTTCAGAGGGAGAAACAAGCCAAAATATTATTACATGAGATTTGAAGTAAAAAAAAATGAAGCATTTACTGATTCTTTTTGTTTCTGTTTTATTGCATTGAAGAAAAAAAAAAACACACCCAAACAGCTATCACAGCACTGCAAATGAAAATTTTTACTCCTCTTCACACCCACTCTACAGATTTTTTTTTAAATTTTTATTTCCAGGACACATCTACAGAAAAAAGACAGTTCAGCACTAAAAGCGGTAACAGGGCAGACTCAAGAATTTTCAGCTATGTGCCCAACTGTGATCATCAACTCATCAATTGCAATATAAGAGTTGTTGTTGCTTTCATCTACAAATTGCAAGTCTGGCATTCTCACTTCAGACAGACACATGGATTCACATATTTATACTCTTCAACTCAACTAGTTCAGGCAGCAGAACCAGTTCAGTTGCAATACAGAAAAGACATGATGTTATGGCTAGACCTCTTCCAGTAGCTTAGTCAGCCTGTTTCAACAGCAGCTCAAGTATTTTGACTGCATACTGTGGCACAGATGCACTTCCAGAGAGAAAGATACACAAAGAGAGAACAGGCAATACCTCTGCCGAGACCCTAGACCGTGAAGCTTATTTTCTTGAGACTGACATATAAAGGCGAGCGAAGATTGCCAATTGAAAGGCTTGCTCCCTTTCCTGTCAGAAAGACAGTGTTGGAATACAGAAACTATTTCTAAATCTGGCAAAGAACTGCGTGGGTCAGTCTTCTATCAGGCCTGTGGACTCAGTGATCCCATTCACTGCAGCGTATTTTTAGAAGGTTGCCAGTCACCCAGGACACTGAGCAGGTACTCTTATGTGTTAGACATTCAAATAAACAGATTTTGACAACACTCAGTGATCTGTTCTGCTTTTAATGCATACTGAAGGATGAAACAGAGAGCAAGAACGCCCTTCAAAAAAAGCCACCGAGACAAAGGCTGTATCAAAGTAAACAAAGTGTTACGCTATTGCTAGACATAACCTTTGCGTAAAAGATGTCTTTTCAGTAACACTAACCTCTTCATCCACAAGGATTTAAGATAGGGATTTAGAAACTGGACTTCTGTGTTAGTTTTTTATTCCAGCTTACCTAACTTAATTAGGTGCAGGAGTTGTTCAGATGGTGCACAGACTGATTGTGGTTTTATCTCATTTATCAAGCCATTGGCAATATTTATGTATCCATCATATAGCAGCTGACTAATTATCAGTTTATAAAGTTGCTGACGGTCTTTCAAACTGACTTTTGTTCTATACATTGTGAGCAAGGAATGCCTTGGAGGGGCCTGAAATAAAGAAAGAAGAAAAGTCACATACAAGAGAGTTGCATGAAACAACTGCAGCCTTTAAATACAGCACATTCTGATGAATTTCAGCACAGACCATATTTTAGGTAAGAATCAGAGACACAGAAATGAAAGACAAAATAAAAAAGGAAAGACCTGTTGCGCTTGTTTGCTGTAGAAATTTAAAGCTCGCCAATAAACAGTCCAGGAACTGTGTCCGGGCGCAACAGCGAA